AAGTCAGTTGGCGTAGCTCGCCTCGAGGCAGAGATGGGGGACGAGGATACCTTACACGTGGTTATGGATGGCGAAGGAGAGGCTGGATTCCATTCGGGAGAAGGAGTGGTGAGTTTGGAAGGGGTCCTCCCGAGGTGAATGAAGGCAGGCTAGAAGATACTTGAGGAGCGTCATCATGGAAAATGTTTCATGTATGCTGCTCCCAGGGAGCATTTGCTGCTCCCCGAAGGCACTTGCCAATTATCGCATCACTACTGGGTGCCATAGCCGTAGGGCCATTGTCCCGGCCAACACGGCCAAGCCTGGTTTGGGATAGGAACCTGAGTTAGAGGCGGAGGCTGCGGGGCGATAGCACGCAACGCTACGGGTGCTGCAGCCGGTGCTGAGGCGGCAGCTCCTAAACTCCCTTTTCGACTACGCTTTTGCCCTTCTGTCCATGACCGCCTCCTCTTCCTGGTCCCTCTTCCTTTCACTCTCCCCTGATTCGTGTTCCGAATCCCCATTGCTGCCGCCTCTTCCAGCGAGACATCGCGTGGCTGTGCGCCACAGTCTCCCTCCGCTTCCAGTGATGCCGCAACAGAGGTAACGACCTTGACGATATCTATGTCGTCAGTTTCGTTATTACGATTAACTTCCCGCGCAAGCAACCGCATCATTCGGTCCATCTTTTTCATAGCTACAATCCCTTTTGCAGCAACGCACAGATGAACTTTGTTCCACGCAGCCCTACCGTTGCAGAAAAATCGGGAAGAGAGGCGATCAGTTCTAGCTTTACGGCTGGACTCGTCTTCCTCTTCCCGATAGCCGTTCTGCCTATCCTCTTTCTCTGCATCGGTGGGTTCCATGACGCTACCCCTATCGCGATGGCGCAATATATCTTCTTCCTGCCATCCCTCCCGATCCTTCCGCCAATACGGATGGAACATGGCGTGGAGCGGAAATCTGCTCACCCCTAACACACCGTCTCCCTGGAAAGTTGATGCGACTCGAACAGCGTGGCGGCAGGGAATTCCAGCTGAGGTGGACCAAGAGCAAGAACACAGCCCTAGGACTTTAGGCTTGTCTGGCAGTTTAACCGGACATAGAACCCGGTGCATTCGGACTTCACCATCACCTGGGGAATCAGAAGAGCATACGGAGAACTCAATGCAGGGCCCAAGCTTCTCTTCCTCAATCTGCTGATGACCCCTGAGGCAATACCGTGGCGCATTTTCCACAGACACCGAAAAGAAGTGCTTCAGTCCCGTGGGCATTATGTCTTGTACGATACGTCCCCAAACCTCCTCCTCATAGCCGAATTGCTTTACCACCAGAAGGTAGCGCCGATCATTAAACTTTTCACTTTTCTCTTTAACCTGTCGCTCCAAGCGCGTTCTTTCGCAATATCGCTGCATTTCTGCAGGTATGCGAGCCATCCTAATCTCACGACGCATTACCACACGCTGGTATGCAGAGTTTGCGGACTCAGAATATCCAGAACCCTGGAAGAAGAACCGAGGACCACATGTGGTCCGGTTGAAGCACTTTACAACCAATTCGGGGTTGAAGTGATACAATGTAGAAAACCATCGTGGCATTGGGGAATCGGCGAAATACAATGCTTCAAAGGCCACCCGCCGCGTTAGGAACTGCGTCTCGTTGCTACTGTATCTCAATCGGTGAAGGTCTTCTGTCATCTGCTGAGCAATAGATGAACTCCCGCGGGCATTTGTGAAGTTTGCAGTGTTTTTTCTGATTCTTATTAAGATGCCAGTCGTCTAGAATGACAAGGGCATCTGGTACGATAGCCCGTATCGAAGTAATGATAGCGAAGTCCTGATCACAAGCCCATACTCGCGGCGGTACTCCCATGCACTCCACAAACTGACGGATGAACCAGCTAAAACCGTCTGTATCCTCGGCTGGTATGAACCCCATGAAATAAATACAGAGAGATCCGTTATTCGTGCGACCAGAAATATTCGCCAACGGGATGTTGTAGCAGTTCGCCAGGGCCTTCGCGTCTATCGAAACACCAGGGACAACGCCGTATCTCAAATAGTCCTCTCGCCACTCCGGAAATGACCAGCAAACTGAATGAAGTGTGTGCTTTTCGAACACACGAATTTTTGCATACATGTTTGGCATCTTGTTGGTAAATTCGAGAAGGTTCTGAGTCAGCAACTGAGAGTCTCGCTCTGCTGGATGGTCGCGTCGAAGGTGCCAACGCAGTTTCCTGCCCATCGCCGGACGGTTCAAATTGAAACCGTATTTGTCCTCCAGGTGACGGACAACATCCTCCGTGGCTACAAGGGAGTTGTGTTTCATAGCAATTGCCTCTTTCAGGACGGCAGACGGGAGACTTCGCTTCAATGTGTCACTGGATGGAGAGTGGTCATGCCACCCTGTCGGAAACCTCGATGAGTAGAACGTATCTAGATTTTCAACCCCGTCAAGCTCTTTGCTTGTCCCCTTGTAGAATTTCTCAGAAGTTGTGAACACTGTAAACTTGAACCAACACGTCTTCTTGAGGACATGATCCTCTCCATACGGACATAAGAAGTCCACCCTCACCAGTTGTTTCCGGCCGCTGCGATTATGCTCGTTCTCATACACGTACAAGGACCTCCGAATGGTCATGCGGTACCCAAAGCACTCCAAAATGTGCTTCAAATCTTTCACAATGACATCGCCTTCCATTGATATATTAACAGACTGAAGGTACCCGTCAACACTGTCCTTCATCTCTAGCTTCACGATGCTACTTACCAGCTCGTCTTTTCTGAGCTCCTGATTTCCAAGCCCAGGCCAGTCCGTTCGGACACAGAGGTAAAAATCGTCGTCTTGTTCACTTGCAGCGACCGCCGGAGTGATTGTCAAGGCGGTGGGTTTTGATGGTGGTGGGCGCATCTGTGATGCATTCGCATCTACCGCCTGACATATTCTCGGTCCGACGGGTTCATTCGTACCAGACGTGCATATGTCCAAACCTTTGAAAGAGTTGAACTGTTGGACAATGTCAGGGTGATGTGTCAAAATACTGTCTCTCATTCGCTTCAAACTCTGTGCAATATCCGAAGGAGTAAATAAAATTCTATCCATGGCGTGATTATGTTGGGAAGAGAACCGCATATCCCATGCCCCATCTTCTTTTCGCAATTGCGCGATGAGGCGAGCCTGACATTTGTGGTAGGGCAGTGCATCTGGCGTCTCTTTTTTCGGTGCTTTATAGCGCCGACAGCGCAGGCGAACTCGAATGAGCCATTCCCGGTTCACATAGGCCTTCACGTAAGGGTGGCCCAGGGAATGGCCTGCCTCGAGTAACTTCTCCACATATGAAAAAAAGTTAGAAACGGTTTGCAGGGCTTCTCCTGTACGTGGTTCTGTCTGAGTAATGACGGGCGTCCCTGCACGCTCCAATCGCCGGCGGGATGGCAGCTCTTCGGCCAGCACAGCTGGTTCCGCACCAGCCCGCTCACCTGTTCTCGGAATCCTGCCTGAATCCAACATATGCATGACATCAGTTACTATAGGGTCGATAGCCAATAGCCGCCCAGCCGACGGTGGACCCATCGCACAGCCCAAAATCGACACCTCAATAATATCAACAATGAATAGGTCACTTCCATTGCAGCGATAAATGACTTTGCAGGCAACCATCGGTCGCGGCCGTAGTCCTTCTGTCCCACGGGAATAAATACCTTGCTGTATTGGTTTTGGTTCTAGGGGCTCGAGCTCATGCACAGTACCATGTACTGAAGACAAATCATCACAACGTACGAGATGACCCTGATTGTTGTATTGAGAGTACATTAACGTGCCTGCGCTCATTACGGAAACCTTACTGCGACGCTGGTGATTCATATCCTCCACAATGGATGACAAAATCTGCGAAACACCCGCCTCGCATTTCATGATAAGCTCCACAAACGCCTCGAAGCAGAATTGTCTGTACTGTTCAGTGACATTTTTACAGTACGTCGAATACATCGGCAGTTGCTCTCCATTTGCAGGCCCCCGCGTGAAATTGGCGCAAGCCGCCACCACATAAAAACCACAGCTATGGCCGTCATGCTGATTCTCAAAACCGAGAACAGAGGACATGTAGTTTTTTTCGTCGATGCAGAATGTGGCCCTTCGATAGAGAAGGGCCAAAAACGCACGAAGTAGTTGTAGCACCCCTGCTGGTGCGTTCCACCCCAAACTGTCACCCCAGAAAATCCTGACGCGACCACTGTCAGGATCTGGAACGACGACACACATTCCGCAATGATTAAGGTGATTGATCGGGATCGTGATAGTGGGCATGTAGTCAAATCCGGCAGTGAGCGCAGCAAAAGCCTCATATCCAGTCCAGTACAGTTCGAGTCGAACTAAATTGTTTTCCAACGCCTTAGCATAGTGCTTCGACTGACTATATAACGTAAAACCAAGTTCACACGACCCCAAAGCCACTGATTCCTTGGGAGTGAGTGCACATATGGCTGCATTTATCATAGTGTTATCACTTTTTTCTCCAGCTGACAAGCATTTTAACCACTCCGCACTGCATCCTGCAGTGCCATTATTCATGAGGTG